TTCTTCATCTGCAAGGAGACGGAGACCCGGGTTTGGGGGGTCTGACCGAGGGAGTTGTGTTTGACGCAGCAGCCCCAACTTGCCTTTCACATGGAGCAAGCCCTGCCGTGCTCCAACCCTGCTCAGCCCCCTGAGCGTCTCCTCTGCGGCGCCTAAAGGGGCTCCAGGAAACCTGGAGAGGGGCTTTGGACAAGGGATGGAGGGATGGGACAAGGAGAATGGCTTGAAACTGCCAGAGATGGGATCTTGGGAAAAAGCTCTTCCCTGTGAGGGGGCTGGGACACTGGGATGGGTTGAAGGGAGAAGCTGTGGCTGCCCCATCCCTGGCAGTGCTCAAGGCCAGGTTGGAGCAACCTGCTCTAGTGGAAGGTGACCCTGGCCAGGGCAGGGGGTTGCAGCTGGGTAAGCTTTAAGATCCCTCCCAATCCACTTTGTGATTCCATGATCTATAATTAACAGGGATCTGTATTTCTCTTAAAGCTTTTGCCACTACTTGGTCCCTGTTGTAAGATGAGGTGAACCGTGGTTAGGTTCCTCTGTTCCTCTAACCTCTTTTTCTTCCTCTAAGCTATCCTATGTTCCCTTTTAACTGAAGGAGCACGTTTGGGAGCCCCCAGGGATGCAGAACCTGTGGCGTGGGAACCCTCACTCACCTTGGCTCTTTGGTTCTGGAACCAGACCTGTACCACCCGCACGGTCAAGCCCGTCTCAGCTGCCAGGGTCTCTCTTACCTGTCCCCAAAATCCAGAGAGCTGAGTCAGAACTGAAGCTGCACTTAGAAGCCTCCAAGCCTTGAAAGGCTCAGTGGGCTCCTTATACCTTTCTGCAGGGTTTAGAGGAAACCTCAAAGGAGGCTTTGAAGGCGCGACGCTGCTGCGTGGTGAGGATGGTGCGCGGGCGCTTGGAGCGCTTGTGGTCCTTGCTCTCCTCGCTGCCTTTGCCATGGGAGTGGCCACCATCTTCATCCTCGCTCTTCACTGCAATGCAAGTGGGGGTTGAGCAGAGAGTTTCCCTCTGGGCCACCATTCAGGGGCACTTGGCAGAGTCTGGCTCCTTCCGAGTGCAGAACGAAGCCGTGGCCTGAGCTGGGGCTCAGGGGAACCTCAGAGACAGCCCAGCCTGGCCTCACATCACCCATTCTACAATGTCTTAGATCAGCCCATCCAAAGGTCTGTGGGTCACACAAGTAGATCTCAGCAGCCTGGTACCCCCTTGGCCATGGGGAGAAGATGCTCCAACCTCCACCGACCTCCATCACCTCCCTTTGCAACCTTCCCCATGACTAGTCCCTGCGCAGGGACCAAGCAGGACGTGCCCTCTACAGGGTTCCCCCTCATCCCTCACCCTCCACGCGGCTCGAGGCCCTCACCGGACTCGGTGGGCGCAGGGCTGATAGCGCTCAGCATCTCCTTCTCCTTCTCGTAGTCGCTGCGGCACAGGAGCTGCCCCTCCTTGAGCACGAACTCGTCCCCGCGCTGCAGGCGCCGCTCGCACTCGCAGCAGTAGAAGCAGTGCACGTGGTAGACGTTCTCCAGCACCCTCATGATGAGCTCGGAGGGGGCGATCGCCTTCAGGCAGCTGCTGCACTTGGTCTGGAACAGCCTGCAAAGGAGTCCTGCTGCTTGGAGGCTTCAGAAGCCCTGGGCTGGGGCTCAGGAAGCCAAGGGGGTGTTTAGGTGGGCGTTGAGCTGTGCTGGCACATCCCGAATCAACCCATCATATGCATTAAGTGCATTAAGGCCAGGTTGGAGCAACCTGCTCCAGTGGAAGGTGTCCCTGCCCGTGGCAGAGGGTTGGGGCTGGATGAGCTTTAAGATCCCTTCCAACCCAACCCAATCCAACTCAACCCAACCCATGCTCCCAGCTGCCTTTTGGGGCTTTCTGACCCTCCATAGGACCAGGGAGCAACACGACCCGACAGAGCAATATGTCCCTGCTTCCTCTCCAGGGCTGTTTGCTGCCCGTAAGGTTGCTCCTCATGAGAGGACTTCCTGGACCCATCCCCAGGGCCTGGAGGAGCCAGATGCGAGGAGTCACCCACAGGGGAGGCTGTTTGTGCCCCACAGCGTGTCCAGAGCGAGCAGCAAACAACTGCTGAGCACCCGTGTGCAGAGCAGATGGTTGTGATGAAGTAATTTGGGATCTAAACAAATGCGAGTGGTGGTGGCTGCCGCTGACAGCTTCACTTTAGCCACTTGACAAGAGAAAGTAATAAAACAGGGATTAATTAGGCTGTTGTTTAAACACACAGGAGCTTCCCCACCAGCAGGGAACTCATAAACTGGGATTGAGAACAAGCCTGGGTTAATCCTCCTGGCAAACTCTGTGGAGCAGGATGAAGAGGCTTTACAGGGGTGGGCTCATCCCTTCCAAATACCACCATGGATTTGTGCCGTGCAGTGGCTGAAGTGCCTGGGACATTCCAAGTGGAATGGGTGGGATTTCTCGCTCCTTTGTGTGAGGCTGTTTACGTGCATGTTAAAAAAAAATCCCTCCCTCGTTCCTCTTTGTCTTTCTGTAGGGCACACGTGGAATATAATCATGGAATTTGGGTTGAGATGGGAGCAAAGAGCAGCCTTTTAACCACAACTGTCTTAGGAAGGAGTGAACCGGGAGCGTGTTCCAGGCACAGAATCCGGGCTGAGTCCAAACCTGTCCCTTTCTTAACACCAACATCCTTCTGCTGCAGAAGTGCACTAGTAAAAGGGATAGAAAAGCCCCAACGATAGAGTCTGTGCAGGATCACAGGTACCTGGGGTCATGTTTCTAAACATGAAGTTATTCCTGTGCCTGGCCTTCAATCCCACATGGATCGAACAGGGTGGAGCCTGACCCTGTGTTCATTGCAACCCCGAGAATCAGGCGCAGGGATTCCCACCTCAAGCCTGTTTGATGGTGGTGGATGTGCAACAAAGGCCAGGCCTGGAGGCTCCAAGTGAAGGATGTTCCCATTGGAATGTCCCATTTGGAAGAGGTTCCAGAGGCTAACTAGCTCCTCCAGGCCTTACTTCCAGTCTGGACCTTGCTTTATTCCATGCCCAGCAACCAGCCTTTGTCATGCCTTTATCTTCTTGCGAACCTCCTATGGTTGGTGATGCCACTTGTGGGCAATCAAACCATTCTTCCAGGTTTCTGCTCCTTATCCTTCACACGACCCATTTAAAAGTGAGCCCTGGCTTTTCCTTGCATCCCAGCTGGGAGAATTACCCCAGGAAAGGTCTGCCACCCTTCGTTAGGTGCTGAATCTAGTGACACAAACCCACTTTGGCTTCGAGACAAGCCAGCCCCAGGCTCCCATCTCCTCTTCCCGTATCTCTCAGAGACAGGTTTACTCCTGTGTTACACCCAAGGCAGTTCCACCCCGGAGCCCCAAATCCAGAGACATCCATAGACCCGACAAACAGAAGCTTTACTTCAATACCCTGACCTGCCTCCAGGTAAGGAATGGGATGAGTTAGGGAAACACTGATGGAAAACTTGTTTGTTTCACACTTGTGTTTCCTTTACTTTTGTCCGTATGGATACTGGAGCATTCCCCGTCTCCTTTTACATTTCTAGCCTCGGTGATACCACCAATTCCTTAGGGAACACATCCAGAAACAGGCGAGCTTTGAGCACGATGCGCTCCCAACTGCAGGCAGACAGCAACAGGGATGGAGCCGGGCAAGGAGACCCATTCACCTGCAAAGCACCGAGCTGCCTCCTCGGGCCCAGGCACTTGGTGAGTGTTACTTCCAGACGCTGGCATGTGCCAGCTTTCCATGGACAGGGCTGGCTTTGGCCGCTCCCGGCTGAGGGAAGCGCCGCTCCTGCAGCGTAACCCAATAAAGCTCCGGGCATCACGGAGCCCGGAGCCTCCATCTCCCAGCTAAGCCCCGAAAGCAAATCCACTCAGCTTTGTGCTAATTGAAGCAAACATGCAGCAAAGCAGCTCATAACCACGGTGTCAGGTCGCATTACACAAAATTAAAATTCTCAGCCCCTCCAACACCAGGAATTCCTAAAGAGGCTGGTTTTAATATTGCCTGAATCCGGTTAAGCCAAGGTAATATTGTTTGCGTTGCCATAGGAACAAAATGCATCTCTCCCTCGCTGGCAGGGGCTTCCAAGGAGGTTTGGGAGCTGTGGACGTGGCTACACGGTGTGTGGAGCTGCTGCTCAGGGCAGCCCGAAGAGCAAGAACAAGTTCCCAAGTCACCAGCAGTGACAGGAGGGCATGAAAAGTGTGTTGAGGACCAGCAGTGACACAAGGGATGAGGAGCTCTGAGACCTTCCTACATCGTTTCAGACCTCTCATGGACTTCATTTGTCACCACTTGAGTCCTGGTAACACACCCCAATTGCCTGATTCTCCATTCATCCCTGCAGAGCACCCCATCCCAGCTCTCTCTGCCAATGGCTCTGGAGCAGAAGCCGTATCCCAGCTCCCAGCTCTTCGGATGGGGATGGGATGAGCTGAGCAGCAAGTTAAGAACCTCTCTGACCTGCCAGGGCACAGAGGAGACGCTGACCCAGGCCTGGGAAGGGTAATTTGGAGGGCGTAGGGTTGTCTGGATGGGATTAAAAGGTGTTAATGAAGCAAGGAATAAGCTGGGAGGCCTGTGCTTCGTGGAACCAGCTTATTTAGTTAGGGTTTAGCCAAAATGAAGCGGGCCAGGCTTAAGCAAGGGCTGTTTACTTAACCCTGAGCTGCAAAACCCATTGTAGCTGCCTGAAATATTGAAGTGGAACTTGTAAAGCCTCTTTCCAGGTTTGGGGCTGGGGGCTCGGCGCGGGATGGGGACAGAAGGGGACACACAAGGGACACGAGGAGGCAGCAGCAGCACAATCCACTCTTTCATTCCCTCCTGCAACAGCCATTGCTCCCAGCTGAGTGATACCAGGGGATTAAGGGGAGGGGGGGATATTTCCTTCTGCTTCATTTCTGCCTTCTTCCAGTGATGTTTGGGTCAGAGAGAGAAGGAGGAATTTGGGGGCACCAGTTACCTTTATTCTCCATTCCCTCCACAGCTCTTTGTGGCTCCACATAGATAGATTTAAGCCCAGAAAGGAACTTTGTAATGGTGGCACGATACAACTGTGCCTCTTGTCACAAGCGGCCAAGACTCAAATGTCCCCCAACCTCCTCCAATGTGTGTGTGCACTGGGAAAGAAGTCTTCAGGAGATGACCTGGGAATGGAATACGCAGCAAAGAGGTTGGCATCTACCATCACAAGCAGCATTTCAGAAGGAACCCAAACCCCTGCGTCTCCCGAGCATGGTCCTGCTTGGCTGGCTCCAGTAAATGCCCTGGCACCCACCCAAGGGTGAGGTGTTCCCAGCCTCGCTCTGTTCATGTCTGATGCTGAAAAGACACAAACCACCCCCAAAGCAACCCCTGTCACTGCCGAAAAGCTAAACCATGATCAAACCAGCCCCAAAGGGCTGCACAATCCACCAAAGAGCTCCCCAAAGCCATCAATATTCCAGCGACAGGAGCGAAGCGCCACGGAAAGATTGAACACGGCGCTCGCTGCTCTGTCCCTCAAGGGGTTAACCCCCCCTGCGAGGATATTGCTGCCAGCGCGGTGGCACGGAGCCATCACCACATAATCTGATGAACTCTTTTATTACATTTCACAGGCCTGTCTTCTTTATTAAAATCTCCCAGCATTCGCCGGGCCCCTTCATATCACTGCTGAATGCTAACAAAAAGTGGGGCTTGGCTTCTCCCCCCCCCCGCTTTGCCCCCCGTAGTGCCAGGCAGGGATTGCGCTGCGCTAAGACTTGGCTGTCAGGTGAAGGAGGGCTGGGGGGATGCTCTTCCTGGGGGGAAAAGGGGATTCTGTGCTTTTGAAAGCATCTTCCCCCCCCCCAAAAAAAAGCAGCCTCATCCACACCCCACCTGCAGAGCTCAGCCCCTGTGCTGGGCTGCATCCAGGTCATGGAGGTGATGCTGCCCCTTTGCTCTGCTCTCATACTGCATCTAGTTCTGGTGTCCTCAACATAGGAGCTGTTGGAGCAGCTCCAGAGGAGGCCACGAGGATGAGCAGGGGCTGGAGCAGCTCCCATAGGAGCCCGGCTGGGGACCTTG